TTATACTGTCCTAGTGACACTGATTTTATTATGAATGCAGGCACGTATAATTAATTAAATATTTTATTATTTAAAGTATAAACTCTTGGTCAGAGTATTTTAATCCCATTGTATTTATAGTCTGTATATCTTTTATCGGTTGATACACTCAATTCACTATAAACAATGCTCTGATACCAATCTGTCACACCCCACAACCATGAACGACGGAAATGTTCTGGGGCGGAGGACGTCATGTACAGTATCACAACAATGAAAAGTAGTAAACAAGCAACAACATCATCCATTGCAATAATAATATGATTTTTAATACAAGTGTGTTCTGTCAAATTATAATAAACACTAAAGTATAAATAAAAATGAAAGATGAGTCTTGAATGAGCTCCATCTTCTCTAAACCTTGCATCGGTAGATGTCTACTGTTAACCTGAGGATACAAGTTATTTTGAAAGCGAGTATCAGCTTTAAAGCTGGTGAGATCATAAGCATTTTAGTGTCTTAATTTGTATGTAAGTACTTCTATGTATTTGAAATTTAAGTATTTGTACATATATGAAATGTATGTATTTGTACGCATGTAAAATGTAAGTATGAAAACGTTTTGAGGGTAGCCTTCTACCAAGGCATCTAGTGTTAGTTTGTGTGTCTCTTGTAAGAGTGTGTATTTTCCCAATCTGACTATCATTAACCAAAAATATAGTTTCTACATTACCGTGCATCGTGTGAATGTTCACGAAGTGAATGTAATGGGAAAATGAATTAGTACTATGGTGTAGTATCAAGACTACAACCGTACTAACTACCTTAAATTTATTGTAATCTTGTAAGTACTATAGTATTTGTAATAAGTGATTACTTCTGTACTAATTTTGACTTATTTGAGTGATAAGGCATAATGTGAAGGCTAGATCCCAGGCTAGACGCTCCCATGTCAAAGAGATTTTGGGACCAATACACGACCTCTGCATGTTTGCAAGCCGAGAACATCCACATTACTATGATCATGTATACCCAATATAACTATTACAATGCGTTGTGATTCATTGGTATAGTTAGATCCTGAAATTGTTCCATGTTATAGCACCTATTGATGTCTGTCCAATTTCGGATATGTAAACGAACTCTTGTAAGCGTACCAATGTAAACGTACTTATGTAAGCGTATCAATGTAAACGTACTCATGTAAGTGTATCAATGTAAACGTACTCATGTAGTAGTATAGTAATGTATTGTAATTGTTCTGCGTGTGCTGGCTGTAATGTGTGTTCACTCTCTATCTAGCATGTATAGTAATGTACTGTATTTGTTCCGCGTGTGCTAGCTGTAATGTGTGTTCTCTCTCTATCTAGCATGTATAGTAATGTACTGTAATTGTTCCACATGTGCTATCTGTAATGTGTGTGCTCTCTTTATCTAGCATGTATAGTAATGTACTGTAATGTTCTGCGTGTGCTAGTTGTAATGTGTGTTCTCTCTCTATCTAGCATGTATAGACTCATGAATGAATTGACTCGTGGTATGATTCTGCATTCTAGTAATCGTATTAGTATCTTTCGAAACTACCCATATGGTAGCTTACTAGTAATATAACTGGTACGTATGAACATGGAAGTATACCCTTGCTACCCAAGGGTATGGAATGGAATGGAAGAACTTTTATGACTATATATGTACACATGATATATAACTAATATTTAAATGACCTTCGGATGGATACCTGATACTCACCAGACCACATCGCAACGGTTAAAAGGAAATAGAGCGGATAGCCTTCCAAAGTCCTTTAAACATTTCTTATATAATTATACATATATAGGCATGCAATTGACAATATAAAATCATAAAATAAGTTTTGTAACACTTTTGAACATGATTCCTATCTAAGTAAAGGTCGACTTGATGTTAGCCAATAAAAATGGTTTGGAAGTATTTGTTTGAAAACCCAGTTTAAGTATAACGAAAACATTTGTTTGAAACACAGTTGTATATGAGTCTGAAATGAAACATACATTGTATAAAGAACAGCTTAATAAGGAGTTTTAAACATATAAAACGTTTATGAAAATCATTTAACGAAAATTGTTTGGTAAAACAGTTAATGTGTAGTAAATCATTTGAATGCTGCTTATTCATCACATGTGATTGATATAATAACTAGCATGATTCTACTTGTAACCCCCCCCCCCACCATAAAATATTTAAAAACATTCAAAACATTGATTAAGGGGTATGAACTCACCTGTAGTGAGTGGTACGGATGAACTGAAGATGTAGGATCACTAGGTGTCAAGTGAAGTCTTGAACACACTCTATGATCCTAGTTAACATATAATATCACATATATGTATCAAATTAGTCTTTAAAAAACTAATAAATAAAGTCTAGACACCCTAGGGCATGCTAAACACCTTTAACAAGTGTTATTGGCCTCAAGGATTGCATCTAAGTGTTCTAGGGACAAGCTAGTGTGTGTAGGGTTCAAGGAAAACTCCTTTAAGGAGTTTACGGTATTGTGGTCATTAGCAAAAGGGTTTACGGTTGTAAACCCTTGTGTTTACGATCATAAACTCACCCTCTTTTTGACCATTTGATGTTTGAAGCTTTCTAAGCGAATCCAAGCATTCCTACTTCATGTTTAAGCCTTATGATGTGTTGTGTGGTATCAAAACACTCCTAAATGGAGTTTACGGCCTATGGACCATTTATCCATGAGTTTACTACTATAAACACTCATGGACTTAGGTATTTGGGTGTTTTCAAGTCGTAAACACTTCAAGGTAATAGCCTCGGTCAGATTCTAGGCATTAGGAGTAAATATGGGACATTTAAACACCTTTTGGGGTGTTTACGGTTTTGGGAGATCCCCAAACTGTAAACACATATAAATGATTGTTTTCTTGTTCTTTTAGGTGATAAACACATAAAGGATGGATCTAGACAAGTCCCTAAGGCATTGTGAAGCATCTAGACAACATAAATCACCCTTTGCACTATACTTAGTGTTTACGGTTTTGGGAGCCTCCCAAAGCCGTGAACACCTTGTTCTTGGTGTTCTTGGGACTTTTCCTTGATATTAATATGTATAGCAAGCTTTAAATGACTCTAGGATAGAAGTACTTACTTTGTGGAAGCATGAAATGAATTTTAAGTTCAACAACACTAGTGTGTGTTCTTCGTCTTCTTGGTGTTTTGGAAATCTAATCAAAACATGAAATTTGATGGATTAAAGGATGTATAATCACTAGATGTTATGTTATATCTCCTCATCAAGTCGAGAAACACTTACGTTTTCGGGAAATCGGGCGAAAATCGGGCTGATACTTGAGAGTTTGGAGTTTACTCTTTAGGGTGAAAATGAGGAGTGATGTACTTTGGGGAGTAAACTCATGCTTAAGCATGAGTTTATGGTTTTTGGGGGTAGTTTACAACCCAAACATTAATGTTTGGCCGTGAACTTCTAAGCTACGTGGTATTCGCGGTTTAGAAATTTCAAGACCCGAGACGGCACATTCTTTCACCCGTTCATTTAAAGAATAATTATTATAATAGTCAAACGAACTTTAAATTTGTTAAAAACAAATAGAACTGAAATTAACTTATAATATGAAGTGATTAACTTTAGGGTTTTACCGAATGAAGATTTCGGGTTGTCACAGAAACCAAACAAGCACTTCAATGTCTTTCTTGACTTTGAAGGAAGTGATTAACGCCCAGAATCCATTGTTTTATGTCTATTTAAGGCATCACAGAATATCCGAAAACATTTGCTTTATTTCTTCATCTTTCATACTTTATGCACGAAAATTTTAATATTCCACACTCTAGTTCTTTTAATGGTGTTCAATAAAGCATCACATGCAACGATGATTCAAATGTTTAATGAGTGACTATTGGGATAAAGTGGAAGCTAAATCATCGTTTATCCAATCGGTTTGGTAATTTGAAAAAACACAATTTAAGGAATGGCATGCCAAAAAGGAAAAGACCTTTCTCTTTCCTGCGTCATCCTCGGTATGCCAACTGTTGACCCATCAATTCAGGTGCTATTTTTGAAATAATCCATGATCTCAGCCGGATTTTTCTCTCTCCTACTTGTATGTATAAAAGGGATTCGAACGGTACTCTTTAACCTTTACCACTTTCCAAATTCTCTCAAAGTACAACGGCGATCTGTCTTACTGTTCATCATCTTCTACAAGCAACTACAATGGCATATTCTTCGTCAGTTCATGATACATTCATTCGTCAACCACTTCTCACAATCAAACCCCAACAGAACCTGATCATCGATCTCACTCCGTTTGTTTATGAGCCTTACATGTTGTACATTGTTGAGTGTCTCAAATACTCACCTCTCGTCGAAGAGCTCACCAAGGTAGAAGTCGTTCCAATGTCATGCCTTTCTCTCTGTCTACTCTACTGCCTACTATGAAAAGGTTCATGAAAGGATTCACTTCGAAATCCACAATGAGAAAACCTCTATCTCCAAGCACCGTTTCTGTGCCCTAATTGGTCTTTCTCAAGATCAATCTCTAGTAAATCCTGAATCCATCACCACTTGTTAATTGTTTTCTATGTTTTGTCAGATGGGATATACCGAAACCCTCACCACCATCACAAAGTTCAAGAAGTCCTGCCTTCCTCCTCAATGGAATGGCCTTTTCACGCTGCTTTTCAAGGGACTCTCTGAGCGAAGCGCTGGCTCAGATGCTGCAAGCAAGTCTCTCATGACTGTGCTATATGGGTTGTACCATGGGATAAACCTGGATTTTGGAACTATCATCTGGCAGCAGTTGGTACAAAGCTTGGTCTCTTCATCCAAGCACTCTGAGATCTCATCTGGGAGATTTTGGACAATTATCACCAACTAGGAAATGGACCGCCTTCATGTTCCAATCATGGTGGATTCTCTTATCTCATCCATTGCTACCTTTCATACTACAAAAATTATTGTCACCGATCCCACCAAGTACTCATTTATTGGATTGATTCCGGAGGCCATGCTTGCTCCTATCTCTGCATTGAGTAACGTTCTCCAACAATACAAGAAGCATCCGTCTTCAGGTCCGAGGGAGCTTACCCCAGCCATGGTTCGCTCTATTGACGAGGCTGGAAAACCTGCAAAAAGGGGCAAGAAACCAGAAACCCAAAAAGAGGCACAATTCTCCAAACCCACCAAAGGGAATACCCCTAAGAATCGAAAGTCTGATAGGGCTGTTACCTCACCTCCTAACCCGAAGAAGTTGAAGAAGCCCGCTAGGAGGCTCATACTACAATCTTCGAGTGACTCAGATTCAGAGTATGTTCCTCCCCAATATAAGATTGCTTCTCCTTTAGAATCTGAGAGCGAAAGCTCTGATGATGAGGCTTCGGGCCGAGGTGATACTCTGCCTCGCTCCCCTACCCCAGAAATTCCAGTTTGCTCTCACCCTCCTTCACCTCCACCTGTAACCATCCCAATATCTATCCCTCCTATTTTCCCTATTCTGACCACTCAACCATTTACTACAATTCCCATCCTTACTCCCATATTCACAAACACTACCACTACCACAACAGGTGCTCATTCTACCGCCCCACTCCACCAATAACAACCGAACCACCTATCACTAATGAACCTCAAGCCACAACCAAACCCTTATCTCCCACTCAATCTACATAAACCACCCTTATTCTAGGTGGTGAGGACTTGGAATTTGATTCCACATATTTTAATCCTTACCGTGTACAGAGTGATGATGATGATGATGCGCCGGTTACAAAGCCTCATCTGAAAGTAGTAAATGAAAAGCTTGATCAACTACTCTCATCCTCTTCCTCCGGAGCTCACTCTGAATAATCTTTAAAGGCCTTGTTCTCTTTTGTTGTCAAAGAACATAGTGCCTCACTCTCTGCTGCAGCAAAGGCTATTGAAGCCTCCACTTCACAGTGTCAACAAGCCTCACTTACTGTTGATGCTTGTACTAAGGGGTGCAAAGAAGCGACCGCAAAAGATGATAAACTAGTTTCTGAAGCTCAATTGTGTTTAGATTCTTTGCAGGCTGCTGCTCAGAAGAATGCTTAAACTATCAATGCTTCGGTGGATAACCTTCAACGGTCCCTTCAGTCTGACAAATCCAAACTTGAAGCTACACACCAAGCGATTGAAGCTGCAAACGCCTATCTACATGCTAATGTCAATGATCGTCTCACTCAACTTGAGGTCGAATTAGCTGTAGAGAATCACATCATGGATGAGCTTGACAGGCGAACCTTACAGCTGAAAATGCAAAACCTCAAGTTGCGTACTGCTACTACTTAGCTCAATGATCTGAAGTCAGAGAAGGAAGTCATTCGCAGTTCGGTGGCTGATGTACACTCCATCCTCCTTCATCCCCTTGAAGCACACTATCCAATCATCACCATTACCACTAGACGGCATCTGGCTGATAACCATAGGCTAGCATTAGACATCCTTAGTCGTATCGAGGGTGTTCCAGTGACTGGTGTTCAGCCGAAAGAAGGGGGAAAAAAGAAAACTAAATAAAAGCAAACTCAACCTCCTCCTGAACCGATACCATCTACTGAACCGAAGGTAAATGAATCTTCGGTCAGTAACAAGGGGAAGAAGAATAAGAAAATTGGAGAAGATGACACAAATGATGAGGATGACGTATATGTTGAAAATCCTAAAAAACCGTTTCGGAAGACAAAGCTCTCTGAAAAAGAGCTGGAAGAAAAACTCAAGAAACCATAGGTTGAGCTAGAGCGAAAAAAAATAGAGATGGAGCTCCTAGAGAAGAAAAAGTCCATGTTTCCTGTGTGGACTGTAGTTCGCTCCAGAGATGCGCAATCGATGAGCCAAGCATTCTTTGGCTTGATCCAGTTATGTCTTTTAGGCTCAAGAACTCAAAGGAGGCACAGTTCAACATGCCAATCACCCGAAAGGAATTTGTCTTCCATTGCTTTAATTTGATTGCTGTTGTTCCTTCCCCAGACCCGAAGGTAGATAGGGATCTACTGGAGTTCTACCTGGAGTTTTTCTCAACCCTAGTACTTGACCTGGAGTTTGAAGAAGATTACAACTGTCAAGGTTTTGAAGCGCTACTCAGAGGGGAAGTTTGTTAATGTTCAATTCAAAGTGACTCGAGGCTCTGAAGGCTCGGTTCACAACTTCACCCTTGTTGATCTACCGAACCTGAATCCCCACGAATGGATACTCCTCAACAACATTTTACTGTCAAATCCATAGGAGTACCAGCAAATAATTGACCATGTCAAGAGAATGCTTGTATGCTACATTCACGAGGTAGCGAAGATGGACCAGGAGATTGCCTCTGCCATTCACAAGTGAACCACGATCAACTCTATGGGCAAGGCAGGCAATGTCAACACTATGGTCAAGGGGAAGATTGATACGGATTACCAAAACTGTTATGTTCCTCATGGGCAAAGGTCAAAAATGTATGTTCGCTGTTGTTGAAAAACACCTCTTCTCAATATCATGCCTGCAGCATATCTTAAAGATCATTCAGAGGTGTGATCAGAACAATGATGCTGATAAGAAGTTATTCACTGACATGCTGAGGTGGTACATACAGTTTCGACAGACACTTCTCGCATTAATTCCTTGTCTGTTCAAAGTTATAAAAATAGTGAAGCCAACACAGAAGAAATGATCTCTCACCTCATTTAACGCAAAGGGGGAGATTGTTGGGATTAATAGATTACATCATGGGCTCGGTCCTTAGCCCAGTTTTGATTGCCAGTATTGGGCCTGTCCAACCGTGCATGTTTTGTACTAGGGTTTAGTATATAAGCTGCATTCATGCAGTCCTAGATGTAATCTCTTTAATTATTTATTTTCTCTAAGTTTTGTAAACCCTAGCTAGCCTCTACAACGGAAGTTCTTTGTTGACCTCTGCTGAGGCATGACTTTATTTTGAATCGTAAACATACATTTGATTCCATCCTGTGTTTACTTTCATACTGTTTTTAACTTGTTCGATTTCCATAATCATACCTGTGAAAGATCTAATCGATCTACAGTTTTATTCTCATCACAATATCATCATCGTTTAGTAGATCTTTAAGTTTATGAAGTTAACAACACATAAACACATATACAAAAAAACACACAAAATCTTGCATACACACATAGATCTACACAAAACAACTTGTATTCTCCCCTAAAACAAAGTAAAAATAAAAAATAAGGGGTATGAACTCATATTGTTTTGAAGTTTTCGGTTTTTGGTGAGGGAATGAGAAGATGTCGGCCCTTGATGTGTTTTTGAGAAGATTTCCGAGATCTATGAAGTTCTAAGAGCATAGATCATGAAATGATGTGGGTTAAGAAAAGATTTTTGGTGTAAACTTAATGTTAAACTATAAAGTCAAACAAGAACTTACCAAAAGTGATGAGCTTTGATGAAGAGTTCATGATCTTTTATTGTGAGTGAATTCTTGATGTTCTAGAGAGCTTTTTGGTGGATTTGAAATGAAAGAAAACGAGAGTGGTGAGACACTCTTTGGCCGAGAGTTAAGAAGAAAAGAGAAGGAGAGGGAAAACCTTGCATAGAAGTATGGGATTGGGTAATTACATGAAGTGTATTCAGCTTAATTGCATGAAGGATATTAATGAGGTGTCATGATCTTCATATGTCTCCATATTTCATTTCATTATTTTTAATTTGACCGAGAATGGGATAGTATGAGGAGAAATGTAGTCCTAGAATTTAATATACTTGAAACTACAAGGTCCAAGGTGGAAGTTTCAGCCCGTTGGGCTCTCTTAGCGGTTTACATCCGAAAAGAGTGAACATAATAGGTTTTAGGCCCATTTAGATTCAACAATGTGACAACCTGAAATTCGTTCCATCAATGGTAACCCTTTTTGTTAATATATTCGTCGTTTTCGATTTCGTTTCCGTTACGTCATTTAATTAAGTCATAATTGTGGGACTTCTATTATGACTTAATGAGTGTCTAAACATGTTTAGAACTCATATTAACACTTCATATTAGTAATCGGAAACATTTTAGAATCGACCATATCGGGTTACGGTAACTTAATCTGGTGCGACCAAAAGCATCGTATAACGCCAGTATCGCGTAGAATTCCACCGTGTCCAAAACTTAGAACCTATTTAAAGAGGATTAAGCTTCCATTTGAAGCTTTTGCTCTCTCTCACTACTCTCTCTCTAACCTCTCTCCTCAATCCAAATTCAAGGTCCAAAAACACCAATTTAAGGCTCAAATTCATAAAGATAACTTCGCTAACTCATTGTATAGCACCTTTAGCCTTCAAATCCGAGTTCAAAAAATCAATTACGACCATTTTCATATGTTTACGGCCCTGGAACATGCTTGGTTCGTAAACACACTTTTAAGGGGTCTTTGAGCCTTTAAACCCTTCCAAACCAACTTTGGGACTTAGATATGACTAAATGGCTTACCAACATAGAACACATGGAACATCATTTTTAAGGAGTAAACATGAGTTTACTGCCCAAGAACATGCTTAGGCCATAAACTCATTTTCATGGGGAGTAAACTCACATTTGAGTGTTTAAAATCCACCTAAACACACCAATGACCTTTGAATAAATCCTAGAACCAACCACAATCGATTTAGGGGACTTAAACTAGATGGAAACAACCCCATGGAGAGTTCACAGCCGTAAACTCCCCAGGAATGAGTTCTTGGGCCGTGAACTCACTTACACAAGTAATATGATGCTTAAATCTCATTCTAGGGCTTGGATAAATTGTTAGAATAACATGTGATTAGTCTAAAGCCATTAAATCAACAATTAAAGGGGGGTATAGGAGCTTACGATCATAAACTACATGTTTAGGGCCGTAAACTCCCTTTGATGGTGTTATTGGTGATTTAATTCATTCCTAAGCGTTAGATAAATTCATCCCAACATTTCCCCAAGTCTTTCAAGGCCATTTAGCATCCAAAAACATCACTTATGAGTTCACGGCTGTGAACTCATGTGGGTGTGCTGTTTAGGGCCATAAACTCCCTAAGGAGTTTATTCTTGAAGTCCCAAATCATTATCCAAGCCATATACGTCCATAGATGTCACCCGGGTCACTCCAAACACTTGATTTCAAGTGTTTTCGCTCATTGGAGTGTATTATCATATCTAATTAGTGAATTAAAGTCTAATTAGATACATTTGTATACCATTTCATATTACATAGGAACCTCGCACGTTATCAAGCACCGAACTGACACATAGCATCCAAACCGTTACGTTTTCTCGTCTGGTGAGTCCATACCCCTACCCATTATTAACGTTTTCACTGTTTTCATGGGGGGGGGGGGAATACAAGCAAAGTACAAGTAATACTTGTAATCAAAACCTATTTTATATACATTGTGCTTCATATTACATATGCTTTTAACACTGACAGTCTTAACAAACAACCGTTTGAACCTACAAAACACATTATTATGTTATTTGTGAAATACATTATAAATTGTTGTATTTATATTTTCACAAGTGTTTTCCCACATTGTAACAGTTAAAAGCATAACATTTGAACATGGTTTTGTCCTCGGTAACACTCCACAAAGATACTCGAGTGGAGTATAGTCATTTGATCTTTCAGTATTATTACTTGTAAATTTGTTATTCCTATAAATTAGAGACACGTCCTCGGTGAACACTCCACAGAGATACGCGAGTGGAGGACCAACCCCGTAACCAGAATCTCTTAATTAGGGAGTGTGACTTGATTGTATAGATCTATACGGGGCTGACTACCCCGCACATGGTTGCTAGCTACAGCCGAACCGAAAGGTTCAAGGGTGACGAAAGTCATATAGGGTGATGGACTAAATATTGCCCTAATTAGTCTATTGTATGGTTATGGAACTCGCAATTTGGATAACAGAGATTTACTATATAGTAATAATGGGTTTAGTAACTAGTTTACTTGGT